TCCCTGAGCAACCACTTATTGCCTCCCAGGGTGCCAGCTAACAAGAAGCCAAAACCTGAATGCTGTCAGCATCTTCAACATCAGAACAATTGCCTGAGTCTACCATCTTTTTCAATGTATTAGGTAATCCTATAAAGGAATATTTAAAAATTTACTTGACTAAACACAAAAATAAACTGAACTTATTATTTCTCTCCCCCTACTTTGTTTCCCTTTAAATTCCTATTTTTCCACCAAAATTCTTTCTCAGATTTAGAATCACTTTTTTTTCTGATAATTAAGTCTGCATCAATTAGAACTCCATGAGTTAGAACAGATTCTATTTCAAATCACAAATCTCTATCAAATTAAGCCTGTCTATAAATTTTATTTAAAATCACCCATCTTTCTTCTAAAACTCTAAAAATCCATTTCCAGGTAAGTGTTTAAATACTTATGCTAGAAAAAGTTTGTAAGTTATTTGTGCTAGGTTGTTCTTTGAACTTTTAATTAACTTCCTTAATGTCTTCTGGGTTCTGACTCATTGTAAGAATATTGTGAAAATGAATGAGAATTGGATATGGGAAAATTAACTTCCTCTTGCAAGATGGTTTTTGTCATGTAAGCTCGGAGGATATATTTAAGAAATGTGAAAGAGGCTAGGATCCTTGCCTTGTATGTTCCGAGATCCCAAATGAGCGCAGGTTCTAATACCGGCAGCCCCACTTCCCACCCAACTCCCTGCCTGTGGCCTGGGAAAGCCTTGGGAACCTGCACCCACATGGGAGACCTGGGGGAGGTTCCACTCTCCTGACTTCGAATCGGCTTAGCTCCAAATATTGCAGCCACTTTGGAAGTGGGTCAGCAGACACAAGATTGTCCTCTCTTCTCTCCTCTTTTTTGTATGTCTGACTTTCTAATAAAAGATAAAATAAATCTTAAAAAAAGAAAAATATATATATGAAAGAGAGTATTTGATGTACTGGTGATGGAAGTTTAGAGAAAGTTGGAAGTACACAGAAAATTGAATACTCATATTGCATGAGACATTTTGGTTCTCATTTTGTATTTTTCCCAGAATCTATACGATCAGTCTGCTGATCACAAAAGAGATTCAGAATTACAGTGAAAACACACCATTTTGTTAACTCTATAACTCAAATCTTGAGTACAGTATTCATTTTTATAAGCATGACAAAAGATAGTGGGATTTGGAGACACATTCATACAAATAACTTGATTTTTATTTCATATTTTGACCCTGAATTTTCTTTATTCCTTGACCAAATCTTTTCTTTCAAATATTTAGACTTTAGTTTTCATGGATCTGTTACTGTATTTAACAAGAAGCTGTGATTCCACAAAACTCACATATTCACAACCAACTTAGCTGACTACTGGCAACAAGTTTATTAACCAAAGTATGTCCATGTCATGGACCGCCGGGAGTCCACCCCTTTCTACCACCCAGGATCCACTCAACACAAACAGGACGGACAGCAAGTATACTAAACTCATACTCTGTTCTCCCTGTTCAACTAATTTCATGCTGTTTTATGTGGTTAACATAAATTAAGAACTTTCCAGAAGGATTCTTAGTCTTACTCATTATAGAATAATTGAAGACTAGTACTTGAGTCTCTGGGGTCCACACTTTCTCTTTGTCTGGGAGCAGAGCTGATTTTGTGATGGTTGTTCTTCCTCTACCTAGCATCACACTGTGATCTCAGGACTGAAGGATGAGCACAAAGATATATCTAAGAGTACTCAGTGGGAGGTTTCATCTTGCAAATTTCAATTTTGATTTTGTGCTCCCTTTTTAAAAGTTTGACTAAATCTAATAATGTCTTGTCTATAACAATTATTCTTTTAGCATCCTAAGAACTGCAATTATGTAGCATTTTATTGATTCAGAGATTCAACTAATTGAGAGTAGCTGAGACACAATTTATTTTGAAATTATATTTACGAATCAACTGATCTTACTTCATTTTCTTCTTGTCTGCTACACCTACTAAAAAGTCATCCAAACTCTTTAGCTCATCACTGAAGGTTTTTGACTAATCCATCTTTAACCATATTTTTCACACTTGCATTTTCACAATATTCCTGTTAGCTGTATCCCAGATTCTGGCCATTCTCTTTCTAGTTTCTTCCTCCTGTTAGGTCTTTCCCCACCTATTGTTTATTCATATTAACTTTCTTCTTTTTCTGTTTTAAATGTGTAATTTGGTTTATTTGAAAGAGAGAGAGAGGGAAAGAGAGAGATCTTTATCTGCTATTTCACTTCCCAAGAAGTCACAATAGCCATCCAGGCTGAAGCCAAAGCCAGAAACTTTTCCCATGTGGTCTCTTACTTGGATGGTAGGGCTAAAGGCCATTGGACCATCTTCTGCTGATTTCGCAGGATATTAACATGGAGTTACACCTCATCCTTCATATTCACCTAATTTGCAGACTATTTTTTCTTCCATGAAACCACATCTGAATGTACATAAACTGCCTAGAATAAATGTCAAAAAGTCATCTAACTTGAATTAGATTTTTAAAGAAGGTATGGAAGGCTGGCTTTCTTCATGTTACCAACACACTGTATTGATAAGATGGAGGTAAATTGATATTTTGTGATGTCAATGAACACTGGTTCTCCAGAACCTTGGTGAGGTCTTGGTGCAGGACAGGCAGAGAAAGCAAGATATAGAGAACTCTTTAAGTTTGGTTAAAGACAGGTCTTTCTAGGTACTTAAGACTGAGACAAGATCGTGGTACAATAGTCTGTCCTGTTAGTGAACAGTGAGGAGAAAGTTTTTTGGTGAAGAAGACTCTTGGATGCAGCTGTTGAGGCTTTCCATTGAAGAGTTGCTGTGGTTTTCAGGAAATCTCTGTAATGTACAATCAAGCCAAATTTTGAATAAGAGGCTGTTGGATCAACAAAGTCTTGCTGATGGATACATTTTAATGTACAACATCATCTCCCTTTTTTAAAATAGGACTTACATTAGTCTCCTGGGTTTATCATAACAATTTATAACAAATCTCATGCTTAAAGCAACAGAAACTTATTTTTACAGTTCTGGGGGCTAGAAAGCCAAAGATGTCATCAAAAGCATGTGCTCTAAGAAACTTAAGACCTACAGAGTTCTTCTTTGCTTCTTAATTTCTGAGAGGTTTTTGGCCGTCTTTAATATTCCTTGGTGTGTGGCTGCATTACTTCAATCTCTATTTTCATCTCTGCATGACACTTCTTCTTTATGTTTCTGTTTTCGTACTTCCAGTTTCTTATGGGAATAACACTTATGTTGAATCGGGAATTCTGTCCTACTTTATAATGTATGCTCTCATCCTCACTAATTGAGCTTGCAATGTTATTTGAAACAAGGTCACATTTGGAAGTACAGACTGGTACGACTTAACTGTATGTTATTTAGGAGACACAATTCAACATAGAGGTATAGTTTTAGTTTTCAGGTGCAGGTGAAACATAAGGGATATCTACACTAAAGAACTAGATATACTTCTGAAAAGCTGCAGGGACTAGCCTCTGTTCTCCAACCGTGTCAAGTCCATTCAGCTTCTGTACCAGTCCTAAAGTGTGTTGCTGGGCCAAGTTTGTCCAATGAATGCCTTTCTTCTTGTTCTTCACAAACTCTGTAACTTAGCTCTATTTTGACTTTATTACATTGTGCCACATTAAAGGGAATAAAGGTACATGATTTTGTGCATCTTTCCATTGTAGAATAAAAAATAACATAAAGACAGAGACTTGGGGAAACCTTGAAGAGGATCTCCTTAGTTTCAACAGTATGTATACTGTCTCAGAATCAAATGATGGCAAAATGCCACATGATACAATGGCATAAGCTGTCAGGACACCAGCCTAGCTTCTGTTTCTTTCCTTCTTGCTCAGCCCGGCTAGCAGCCATTCTCAAGTAAAAGACAAACATATTTATAATGGGTGGACAATTGCTTATTAATGTTTATGTCTGCTCCCAAGGCATTTTGTAGAGTTTCATCCATTTAAGATGTAATGTTATTAATTTTTGTGAATCATGTGCTAATTACAGTAAGTTTGCCCTCAAGAAAGACAAATCCTTTCTGAAAAAATTCACTAATTTAATAGCCCAGTAAGAATATATTATCAGTACCACTTCTGATAGAATGAGGACATGCAAAAAATTTAGTCATCCTCAAAAGCTACAGAAACACTAAGGAAAAAGAAGTTTCAAATTATATGTTTCAAAACTTCAGAAATTTACCAAAGGTTTGCAATAATATAAGGAGCAATTATTCACACAAAAAAAATGGCTAGGTCTCATAAAATACGTAATCTTTGCATCATTTTAACTTATCCAATTCCACTTTCTTTCTCAGTAGTTCTTTTGTACACTTAGAAATCAATATCATTGAGATCACAGTAGTTGCATCAGCCAGTGAAGGCCTTGCATGAATCTGACACTCCCTGAAAGAGTCCAATCCATGGAACATGGCCACTATGTGACCTAATGACCCCATGGAACAGTCTCATTCACATGGCTGGCTTTCATTTGACCTGACTCAAAACTCTGTGAAAAAAGCCCCATCCTAGGGCATTTGTCAGAAACCATCATTGACAATTGTTTACCTCTCAAGCTGTAATGCCAGTAACAGCAAATATGAATAGTCCAAAGGGATTTTTTGAAAACATCTGATAGGTTCCTGACAATTTGGAAGATTATGTGCAATGAGGGGCTTAGTGGGGCATTTCTGTAGAGAACAACACAATACATGAAACCAAAGACTGGCAGAAGTAACAAAAATAGATAATTCAGTAAGATTAATGGAAGGCATCACAGCTCACAATGATGGACTGAACAACTTGGCAAAAGAAGGTAAATCGAAGACTAAATATGTGAGTTACAATGGGGCATTACTAATAGAGATTAAAAGTGTTAAAAAATGATTGTTATACACAACCACATCCCTACAATTAGATGATCAGGTCACTGAAAGCGACCCAAGATGGTATACATGTATACTTCTTCCAAGGGAGAGCATGAACTCAGTCCCCTGCTACCATGAATTATGCAGTGTCGTTTGCCACATTTGAGGAAATCCTAAGAGTTAATACACCCGGAGAGTAGTGGATAAGCCTCATCCTGGGAAAATCACCTTGCTTCCTGATCACGCTGTCTTCCCTGCCAGGTCAGTATTGATAGTACGTATGTATTGATATATATGCATTAGATAGAATTACATCAAGAGATTAAAGTAATAATCAACATAAACCTACTTCCCACAAAGAAAACATAAATCCAGATAGCTTGAACAGGGAATTGCAGTCATGTTTAAATCAAATTAACACTAATTAACACAAACACATAGAAAAACGGAAACATGTCATTCAATAATTCAGTGTTATTCATATTCCAATACTAAACAAATCCATCATTAAAAATAGCCTGGTATACCTTATGAATAAAAAAATAGATGAAATAATTTTAAAAATTAAAAAGAAGTTGTTTAATGAATAAGTGTGTTTGATCTCAATTATTCAAGGCCAATAAAATGTCCCAACATACAGCCAATATAATATACTACATTCTTATTAAAAGTACTAATGATTAACTCAATACATTCAGTTTTTTACAACCTCTCAGTACTGTGATCTAACCATTACAATTAACTAAGAAATCAAAGGAATCCAGATTTGACATAAATGAATGAAAATGTCACTGATATCTTGTGATTCTTTTAAAAAAGAAAGTCATGCATTTAATAAAATATTACCAGAAATAGCAAATTGTTTCTGCATGTTTTCAAGATCAGTGTAATCATATGAGTCATAGATTTCAATGAACTTGTTGCATGAACGACGCAGCCTTATAAGATCAAAATAGAGCCAAAGAATCCCCACCACCCTCTGATGTCACAGCTATCACAATACACAATGTGTTTGTGGTGATGTTAGTGCAAAACAAACCTACTGTGCCAACAGATGTATGAAAGCATTGTGTAGCCAATTATGTGCAACCACCCTGATAACAAATGACTAAGCTACTAATTTTACTATTTATTACAGTTTTGATATCTTAGAGTATATCTTTTCTACTTATTTGTTTTTCAAAACGTTAACATTACCTTTGCTCAGGCAGCTCCTTCAGGAGATTTTTTCATAGGAAACCACTGCTCTCTTGGGAGATGGCAACTGGCTGCCCCTGGAGACCTTCCAATAGAACAGGACAGAAATGAGAAGCAGTAATGGATGATCTCTGAAGATGTGGGCTAATGTCTGTATTTGGTCTTGGTTTCCAGATAAAAAGGGGTAGGGGATTAAAAAGTAATAAAAGTTACAAAGCATCAAAAATAGAAAACATATTGTACCATTATAGAAGAAGGATATGAATGAAGGAAACGTGGTTGCACAATAGATGTTTGTGCTTTATGCTTTGCATTATTTATAAAATGGCAAACTAACATCAGGTCTTAGTTAATTCATTACTGGAGAAAGTTCTTTTTTAATACATCTCTTTGGCCTAAGTGCACAATGTTTATAAACTGTAAATAGTGTGTTTTAATATCTTTGGCTTTCACATCCACTTACTACACATTTTCTGACACAGCAAATTTAATTCCTATAGGCTCTATTTATGGCAAATGCTATCTGCAGCTGAATGATTTTATCTTTTAAGCCTCATCTTTCTGAGTTTTTCTATTTTGAATATGTTTGCATACATGAGTAGTTGCCAATGTATTATAGTTGATCGTTTGGTACAGTAATATGTTTCACATTTGTAGCCCAGTGACAATAAAACATTATAAACAGGCTATCTGTGTAATAGGATGTATCATGTAGAGTTGTGTGAATACACTCTATGGTCTTTGTACAATAACAAGATCACTTTATGGCACTTCTCATAATATAGTCCCATAATTAAGGGATTCATGACTATATGTAATAATTCAGAGTTGTTTTTATCTGGAATGAATAATCCAACAATGAAATTAAGCAAACACATCCAAATATAATACCACTAGAATGTATGAAATAAAATTGGTACGAATTTTCATGCTTTCAATATTTGTCCTCCCAAACTTTGAAATTTGTTCTTCAAAGTTTTAATAGTTCTTAGGCCCAGCGCAGTAGCCTAGTGGCTAAAGTCCTTCCCTGGAACGTGCTGGGAACACATATGGGTGCCGGTTCTAACCCTGGCAGCCTCACTTCCCATCCATCAATCTGCTTGTGACCTGGGAAAGCAGTTGAGAATGGCTCAAAGCCTTGGAATCCTGCACTCACGTGGAAGATCTGGAAGAGGCTCCTGGCTTTGGATCAGCTAAACTCAGGCTGTTGCATATGATTGGGGAGTGAATCAATGGACAGAAGATCTTCCTCTCTATCTCTCCTCTTTATATATCTAACTTTGAAATATAAATAAATAAGCAAATAAATAAATAAAAAAATAATTTTGATAGTTCTTAAAATGTAGAAACTTCATCCACTTATGGTGTTTGGAGGTAGGGTCATTGGAAGATGACTTGAATGGACTTGACAGTCATTAGGACAGAGCCCATGACTGAATTCTCATGGCATTCTAAGGAGACTAAGGAGACACACATATACGGCCTATGTATTGCCACGTGTGGCACATCAGGACCCCTTCAGCAAGAGCATCATCAGCACAGGCTGAGCTAATGGGACCTCCTGATCTTGGACTTGCATTTCCAAAAACTCAAACTAACCAAATCTTTCCTCTTTTATAAAATTCTCTGCTTTAGGTATTTTATCAGATTAATGGACTCACATAAAGGTAAAAATCTGTACATGAAAATTTGTATTATCTTGATCAATCAAAGTTGTCTTCCTCTGTTTTCTGTTTCAAATCATACAATGTCAAAGATTAGATATAAGTTACATCATAAAAAAAGGGTTTTATTTTTGGCTCACAATTCTTGCCAGGGTCAAGGGGCTGTGCCTGGGAATGCACTTCCTGGTGCAGAACATCACATGGTAAGAGAACACACCAGAGGGTTTGCTTTATGGTAATCATTGACACATTAATCCTCTATTAATTGCATAAATTTATTAATCCATTCATGAACTTAAAATCATACTCACCTGGTGGAAGACACCATCTCTCAATAACTTAACACAGAATGCAATTTCAATATGAGTTTTACAGAGGACAATTATATTAAATCAATAGCAATATCCTACATTTATGGATCAGAAGTCTTGTTAATTTGACTACATTCCCAAAACCACACGACAGATTAAATGTAAATCCTTTAAACATCCCTATTAGCTTGTACGTAGAAATCACTTTTTTCTAAAGTTTATGTGAAAATACACACAGATCTTAAACAGCCAAAATGTTCTTCAACTAGGACAAAATTGGAGGTTTTACACCCCATCATTACAAAAGGCAATGGTTTCTGCTCCAAAGGACATCAACAAAGGGAGTGCAAACACAGCTCATAGGAAAGCAAATCTATTTTCGATTCATAATCTGAAGTGGTTTCTGTTTTGAACACATTTTCTTAAAAAAAATAACTCAACAAAGAAAGGACAATTACCAAAAATTATAAAAGATTGAGTATTTTCTTTTTAAAAATGATTTATTGAGTCTTATTGACAAGACAGATTCACAGAAAGGAGAGAAAGATCTTCCACCTGCTGGTTACCTTTCCAAATGACCATATTGGTTAGAGCTGAGCAGATCAGGAACCAGGAACTTCTACCGAGTCTCCCACATGAAGCACTGTGTCCCAAGGCCTTAGGTCATCCTCCACTGCTTTCCCAGGCCATGAACAGGAAGCTTGTTGGAAAGCGGAACAGCTGGAACTTGAGCCACTCATATGAGATCCTTGTGTTTGTAAGTTAAAGCGTTAGCCAATCAAGCCACTGTGCCAGGCCCATAATAATTGGACTGTTTTCCAAATAATAAACACAAAGGCCAATAAACAAATTGAAATGTGTTCATTTTTATTAAAAATTCCTATCAAGTCCACTATGAAATAGCAACCTATACTCTTTCAGATGGGTACAATATTTAAATATATTTACACATAGTGTATCTGCAGTGTGCATATATAAACATACATTTAAACACACACCCACCCACATATATACACATACACATACACATAACATTAATGTACACCCACACACAGACACAAATACATAATAAGTTATTTCTCTACATTCCAATAGAGAAAAGAGGTCTTGTTAATTGTTGTGTTTGTAAAATGGTGCAACCACTTAGCTTTGGAATGAATATTCACTAGATTAAATAGACAAAGATGGGGCAACTTAAACATCTATCAATTGATGAATGAAAAATAAAATGTAGTATTTTATACAGTGGAATGTTATTTAATATTAGGAAGTTATATAAAATGGATACATGGATAACTATTGAAAATCTTAATATAAATGAAGGCAGTCAGTTACAAAAAGCCACATACTTCATACTTCCATTTACAAAAGCCAGAATGAAGGATATTTCTAGTATTAGAAAATATTCATAGTTATACGACTCTATGAAAATACTGAGTACCTCTAAATTATTTTCTTCAAAGAAAGGAATTACAGTTCATGGGGACTATATTGAAGTATAACTTAATAAAGCTACATTTTGTATTAAAAATACATTAACTAAAGATGAGCACTTTAATAAAAATTTTGTATTAAGTACATCTCACAGGGAAACATCCAACTGTACAACATGTAACACGAGATGGAATCTGAGTCCCCAGAATCCCTGAAAAATTCATTTGGCTTGAGGATTCTTTACTGACACTGAAAAGTTTATTCTACTTTTGGGAGTGTCAAGGAAACGAGGTAGAATGTAGGCCACAATTCACGTGCACCTTCATGGGTTTTCAGTGTTCCTCTGAATTTCCTAAGCACATGGGATTCTTCAGATAGCAGCTACATTTAGAAGTTTTCCAAAGCTGTTGCAAGATCTGCTCATGAAGACATGTCAAACAACCTGAAATAACCTGACACTTGCTCTAAATTTTGTGAGATGGAACTTTACTGACTGCTGGCAATGAAGCAACAAATGAAATGCAAGTTCTACCTGCAAGACTTTTAATTTATAACAAGACAGAAGATAAGCCAAGGAGCAATTGAAAACGGTGCTCTAAGATGATGGAGACATATAAGAGCAGCTTAAAAGTTTTGTGCAAAATGTAATTAAAAGATATATCA